ACATCTGGTGAAAATTTCATGTCATTAGCACCTCTRGTAATATATTTACTGAGAAAAATGGTGACGTGTTCAATACTTATTTTACCCGCTGTATATAAACTGCAGACCCGTTGAATGGTCACTCATCCACCATCAAACTGTATTCTGTGCTGCAGTTGAGTTTTTCTGAAACAAATTGGTTTAAAACAATTGTTTATTTYGATAATTTGATATTTTATATCACTGTCAACCTCACATAATTGTGGAGACATATCCTGCTTCAGTAAAGGCATGTTTCAAAATAAAAGTCTGCGTTAATTCAGTTCATACAAAACAAACCTTTTGCATGAGAACGCAAAGGTTTTGCGAGGGAAAACAAAAGAAAATACACCCCCACCCCCATGCCCCCTTGTGGGCTCCATAGTGTGTTATAAAAACACAAAGATTTTCCGACCAACCATGCTAACAATGCTAGCATTGCTAACAACTTATCTTTGAAAAAAACAATAAAAGGCCCTCAAAATGTTAACACACATTAACTGTCTGACAGAAGATTTTATAGAACAGTCATCTATTAATAAGCATTTTTTATAGTAGATTGATCTGTTGCTGGTGTTTGATCGTGCATTTTTTCACCCTAATACCAAGTTACTCACTGACATTAAGGAAGTGGTTTGTGTCTCAGATTAAACTGCTAACAAGTAGGTTTTACAGTTGGGTTGCTCTTAATGCAGCCGTGTTGTTTTAAAACCAGGCAAATTCAGCTGAAACACTGACGCAAACGTAGTCTTTTTACATTTGTGTATATTATACACTGTATATGTAATCAAATATTATTTTRTCCCTCTTTCTGTCCAGGGTCCTCCTGGTCCACCTGGACCAATGGGACCACAGGGAATAAAGGTAACAGATGTTTTAAAGTAAAATAATAAGATGTTGCTGAATCAGCATATTAACTGAGTTGTAGTTTTTGTTGTTGTTTTTTTGAGTATTTTTGAGTAAATGTTCTCTTTATGTTGTCTTAGGGGGATCGTGGTTTGCCCGGTCTTCCTGGACTTGATGGTGAAAGAGTGAGTTGACCATTTGTTCATGAAATGAAATCCATGTTTGTTACTGTAATAAAAACAAAGTTTCACTGTATTATGAGTTAAAACAAGTCATTTTTATTTATTTTTCTCTRTCAGGGCTATAAAGGTTCGAAGGGAGACATGGGGATGCCTGGGGCCTCCGGAGAGAAAGGAACCACTGGATTACCTGGTTTACCTGTAAGGATCAACTTCTGAAACTTTGTTCTTCTGAAACAGTCAGATTTTCTCATAAGGTTTTTATTATTATTATTATTATTATTATTATTATTCACAGGGTGTCAATGGGGCAAAAGGAGATAAAGGAGATGCAGGAATGCCTGGTCCACAAGGTCCATCTGTAAGCAACGTTAGCTGGAGGGTCTGAGACAAATCTAGTCCACTAGCTGATTAAACTCTGTCTCTTTGCTGTATATAAATGTTGTCCAAAGCAAACTTCACTGCTAAGAACTGTGKGTGTAAAAATACCATCAAAATGTTTTATATATGAAAACTAATACATGTGCTTTTCAGATTGTYGGACCTCCTGGGCCACCAGGACCTCATGGGCCCCCAGGACCTATGGTGAGCTTCTTAGCCTTTTATAGATATCTGTGAACTCTCTGTATAAACATCCAAACAGGGTACAATATGACCTAATATGTCACTTTTAATTGATTTTTAGGGACCTCATGGATTTCCTGGTGCAAAGGTGAGTAGAAGGGTTGATAAACATGGGGTTCAAAGTGTAAAATAAAAACATTTTATTGATATTTAGCTCACTGTTCTTACATTTTGTTAATTTTTATTAAATGTTTAATGTATATGTTAAATCCTGAACCCAAATGTGCAAATATAAATGTAAAAGTTAAATGTAACTGTTGTGGTTAAATGTTGAAGTTTACATACATGAGTGTTTCAGAATGGAATGCAGTCTTTGCTATTGGTGTGCAGCTTTTGTTATGATGTCATCATCCTGCGACAGAAGCAACAGCTAACACTGCTAATGTTGCTAACGCTGCTGAAGATGGTATTTGAAATTAAAATTCAAAACGTGTTCATTAAAAACAATATTGATCGTACTTGCGTTAGTAGCATTAGCAGCATTAGTAGCATTAGCAGCGTTAGTAGCATTAGCAGCATTAGGAGCATTAGCAGCATTAGCAGCATTAGGAGCGTTAGCAGCATTAGCAGCATTAGGAGCGTTAGCAGCATTAGCAGCATTAGCGCTTGCTTTTGTTTCACAATGATGACGTTACAATAAAAGCCGAGCACCAATGGCAAAGTCTGCGTTCCATTCTGAAATACTTAAATGTGAACTTTAACATTTAGATTTTCACATTTATACAAAATATTTAACATTTAATTGTAACTTTTATTAAAAATTATCAAAATACAAGCAAAGTGAGCTTAATAATAAAATGTTAGTTGAATTTTTTGAAATTCAGAAAGTGAGCTAAACAATTAAAATACACTAGTAATGTTTTTGRCSATTTATTTTACACTTGGCACCMCATAGATACATAAAACGACTCTTCCTCTGTTACTTCTTTTTGTATTTTTTTTTTCCAGGGAGAACCAGGTCTGCATGGTCTGAAGGGAATGAGAGGAGAACCAGGACACAAAGGAGATCGTGGACCGTTGGGCCTCCCTGTAAGCAGCACAGTGAACCACAGAGCATCTTTTATAGAATCTCATGAATGTCTTTTTCAACCTTGTCAGGTGTTTTAGTTTGTGCGTTAGTGTCAACATGTAAACCTGTGTTTATGTGTGCATTCACATGCGTGTGCCCTCTCCATTTTTTCTGTCCTTGTTTTCATTCGCCCGGACTTGACTTACTTTGCCGCCTGTAACACACGATGTAATTTAGCTGTTGTGAACCCTGCCATCAACCTGTCCTAATAACAATGTTCATCTGGTACTAATCCCGCCTTGTTCATGTCACTCATACCTCCATAACCACACAGGGAGCCTCCGGCTTGGACGGCAAGCCCGGAATTAGGGTGAGTGTCATGTGATCAAGAGGCTTCACCACCCAACGTCTGTCTTCCTCACCATACAGTCCCTCTTTTTACCGCCCCTTTTTTTTTGTTATGTCACCGTATTTTTTGCCACAGAAAGCCAATAATGTTAGCCTTTATTGTACTTGACTTGTTCTCAGTCTTACGAACTGAACAAAGAGAGTTTAGTTTGCTGGATAGTGACCATACAGGAAACATTTCAAGGCCTTCGTTTTGTCTCGCTTTGCATTAACTGAGCATTAACACACACTCATACATTAACAGTCAGCAGTGTTTTAAATGTTGCACGTCTACCAGCTGCGTGTGCCACCTGTAGCTCAGACACAACAGAAGCTTTGTTTGCTTSGGACGTGATTAAGACCTGATATTTAGTCTTGAGATGTCCGTTTATCGTAACGACGGTACTCTCTGCAGGGCATGGACGGGCCGCCGGGTCCAGCTGGTCCAGCTGGACCAAAGGGTGACATAGTAAGACTTCTTATTATGCAACTTATTTATAGCTGTAATTGTGGGCATGTTTTTGCACTTTTAATTTTTTGTCATTTTTAGGGGGAAAAAGGAGGACCGGGTGAACCAGGACCGCGAGGTCCTTATGGATTACCGGTAGGTCTGACAAGAACTAGAGAGAGATGGAAGTCAGGTTACTATTGGTATTAAAATACTGTCTTTGAGTAAACACTTAMTGTTAATTTGTAGGTTTAATAAAGTTTTATTGCATTACAATATAAATAAAGTGTCCACTCAGTGGTGGGCACAGTTAACCAAAATGTTAGCTTCGCTAGCCGCTAATCTGTTAAACAAGAATCTTAGCTCCGCTAACATTAAACCGCTAAACGGAGAAAGAATTAGTGGAAGCAAACGCTAACCGCTAAAACGACTGTGGCTGTGTCCAAATTCAGGGACTGCGTCCTTCGAAGGACCTGGTCTATGTCGACCAGGTCCTTTGTCGACCACTAAGACTAGAGGACAGTGGCTCTGATTTTGGACGGGCTAGCCTTCAGCTTTAATCCCGCCCTTCATATTATTCTAACAAGAATAATATGAAAATCATGTCTTTGCAAAAGACAAAAGCCTAAAGTCACAACCGCTTCAAACTTTCAATTTTTGTTCCACCAGATTCTTTCTCTTAAACTTTGCTCCTTTCTCTCGCTAAAGTCGCGATTACAGTTTAAGGGAGTCTCCAGGTAAATCCGCAATGCATCTTGGGATAGGGTGGACCGAGAAGTAACCATCAGACCTGTCCCCCAAATTGGGGGAAAATGAGAATGCATTGGTAAGCCACAATTTGAGTCTTTGAATTTGGATAGCCTTCGGCGCAGCGCTGTGACATTAACAGCYGACAAATTCAGCCTTTAAAGGAAGCAGCTCCTGAATTTGGCCTCAAACAAAGACTGGAGGGACTGACTTGTTAGTTTTCCATTGGTTTAGTTTGAAGGTGGGTGGGATCGTCTGAGGCAAACTGACCAATCCAAACTGTCTGCTCTGTATAACTTGTGATACATCCAATTAAACCCTTTCAGAATAAAAGCATTTCTTTGACTGATTTTGTATATTTATAAATACCGTTAGAAGTTAGTCAAATAGCAAATGAATGCTCTATCATATTTTATACGTAGTCCGATTTTTGTTTTAGTTATTTAAATATTGTTAAATGTTATTTTATTTGTTTTAAATGCTCTTAGTTTGAAGTTTAAAGATGCTACATGCTATGTGATGCCTGACACGGCCTTCACTGCTCCTGAGGGGGGTTAGATTGTATTTTATTCAGGATTAATTCATCGTTAGTGGACTTAAAATTACCAGAATCTAATTTAACAGAAGCTAATCAGTTCAATTAAGGCATTAAGTCGGGCTCGTTTCCGGTGAGAGTTGGACTCCGCCAAGGCTGCCCTTTGTCACCGATTCTGTTCATTACTTTCATGGACAGAATTTCTA